TACATGACTGTATAATACAATAATACAAACTATATGTACATGACTGTGTAATACAATAATACAAACTAATATGTACATGACTGTGTAATACAATAATACAAACTAATATGTACATGACTGTATGATATAATAATACAAACTAATATGTACATGAATGTATAATACAAACTAATATGTACATGACTGTTTAATACAATAATACAAACTATATGTACATGAATGTATAATACAATAATACAAACTATATGTACATGACTGTGTAATACAATAATACAAACTATATGTACATGACTGTGTAATACAATAATACAAACGAATATGTACATGTCTGTATAATACAATAATACAAACTATATGTACATGACTGTATAATACAATAATACAAACTAATATGTACATGTCTGTATAATACAATAATACAAACTATATGTACATGACTGTATAATACAATAATACAAACTAATATGTACATGACTGTTTAATACAATAATACAAACTATATGTACATGAATGTATAATACAATAATACAAACTATATGTACATGACTGTGTAATACAATAATACAAACTAATATGTACATGTCTGTATAATACAATAATACAAACTATATGTACATGACTGTGTAATACAATAATACAAACTAATATGTACATGTCTGTATAATACAATAATACGAACTATATGTACATGCCTGTGTAATACAATAATACAAACTAATATGTACATGACTGTTTAATACAATAATACAGACTAATATGTACATGACTGTATAATACAATAATACAAACTTATATGTACATGACTGTTTAATACAATAATACAGACTAATATGTACATGACTGTATAATACAATAATACAAACTATATGTACATGACTGTGTAATACAATAATACAAACTTCATGTACATGACTGTGTAATACAAACTAATATGTACATGACTGTAATACAATAATACAAACTAATATGTACATCACTGTATAATACAATAATACAAAATATATGTACATGACTGTATAATACAATAAAACAAACTAATATGTACATGACTGTATAATACAATAATACAAACTATATGTACATGACTGTGTAATACAATAATACAAACTAATATGTACATGACTGTGTAATACAATAATACAAACTAATATGTACATGACTGTATGATATAATAATACAAACTAATATGTACATGAATGTATAATACAAACTAATATGTACATGACTGTTTAATACAATAATACAAACTATATGTACATGAATGTATAATACAATAATACAAACTATATGTACATGACTGTGTAATACAATAATACAAACTATATGTACATGACTGTGTAATACAATAATACAAACGAATATGTACATGTCTGTATAATACAATAATACAAACTATATGTACATGACTGTATAATACAATAATACAAACTAATATGTACATGACTGTTTAATACAATAATACAAACTATATGTACATGAATGTATAATACAATAATACAAACTATATGTACATGACTGTGTAATACAATAATACAAACTAATATGTACATGTCTGTATAATACAATAATACAAACTATATGTACATGACTGTGTAATACAATAATACAAACTAATATGTACATGTCTATATAATACAATAATACAAACTATATGTACATGCCTGTGTAATACAATAATACAAACTAATATGTACATATCTGTGTAATACAATAATACAAACTATATGTACATGACTGTGTAATACAATAATACAAACTAATATGTACATGACTGTGTAATACAATAATACAAACTATATGTACATGACTGTGTAATACAATAATACAAACTAATATGTACATGTCTGTATAATACAATAATACAAACTATCTGTACATGACTGTGTAATACAATAATACAAACTAATATGTACATGTCTGTATAATACAATAATACAAACTATATGTACATGACTGTGTAATACAATAATACAAACTATATGTACATGACTGTGTAATACAATAATACAAACTATATGTACATGACTGTGTAATACAATAATACAAACTTATATGTACATGACTGTGTAATTCAATAAGATGCATCTGCCACATTACATAAACCTTCTTACACTAACCATTCTGAATGGTTAAAATTGTAAAACTTTAACTTATCCTGCATTACTCCTTAAAGGATTTACTGCTGTTTTCTGACAGAGAGACAAACTGTGTGAGATCCAGCAGCTGTAGAAAATTTGTTCCAACCAGTAGCGGCAGCACCCTCCAACAGTCGTCACGTGACCCAGAAGTCATGACGTCACATCAAAACACATAACTGCTTTGTCACCTCCTCGGACGGACGTACTTTGTATCCCTTGTGGAAATTTAAGCTTATTGTTTCTATGCTTTGCGTGTTTCTGCATTCATCGTATGCTGCTATATTGTTGCCTGTGTATGGTCTGTTACCTTTGAGGTCTTCCCTTTCGTAATTTGTAATGTTTATTGCTCATTTTTGGCTCTAGTCACACTAATTTATGGGCGTTTTCATGTTCCCGCCATTTTGGTTTTTTCCCCGCCATTTCTGCGATGGCCACATACTTTCATGTTTTGCATTTTGAATTCTTTATTTGGCATAGGTAATACACTAAATTTATCTATTTTTTAAGCTTTATTTTTTCACTGCCATTTTGGTAATTGTTTGCTCTCATAAACTTGAATCAAATAAAAATTATGATTCCCGTTGTGGCTTAGCCACATCGTTATGTTTTTGCTTAAATTCCAGACATTATGTCTCACCGCACTTGCTGCCGCGGGAACATATCTGGTTGGGGCCTGCCCCTTCTGCCTTGATTCTACGATGCCCTGTACTTTCACAACGCAGTGCCGATGTTGCAGTCCTTTGTCATTGTGCTCCTTCAACTCATATGAGTATCGAGAACACACCTCACTCAACGTGCTCGTCGACACCCTGATAAGGCCTACAACTCGGAGACTCCCTTCCTCAGCTCTACCAATGCCCTTTTGCGGTCTCCTACGCCTCCCTTGCCATCAGAAGGAGGAGCCACGGGCTATTCGGCTTGAACGGCCAAGGCTATTTCTTTAGCCTATGGTCCGTCTGCATGGGGACTGTATATCGACAAAGGGTGGTCCTTCCAGGCCCTCTGCTCAGACAAACACCAGGATCCGTTGACAGCGCCACCTCAGTTTCTGGCTGAGTTTCTCCTTTATTTGCGCAGCACACTTTGAAAAGCTCTACTCTCTCTTCTTCTGTGATTGCTGTCTCGGTTGATCGGAGAATGATGAAAATCACCTAACTCATTTTGAAGATCAGTTCACACCGCCTGCGTAGGATCTGTACATCGCAGTCAGAGGTCAGACTGAATACTATTTCCTAGTGGCTCCGGGCGGTCATCCTCCAAGCTTATAAAGCCGCTGGATTGGGCTCCCCCCTCAAGGCTAACAACCCACACGAGATCAGGGCGGTCACATCTACCATGGCTCTTCACAGTAACTGCTCCTTCAAAGTCGATCATGGAAGGCTGTTATTGGTGATCTCACGCTGTCTTCGCCAGCCATTACCTCCGTGATGAGGCCAAGAAAGATGTCGCCAGCCTTCAGAGTTTTGGCTCCCTGGCTCACCAATTGTCGACGCCACTGATTGTCTGATACCCTGACCTCGACCAGACTAGAGGGCTCTACTGCGTTCCTCTTTGGTCAATGTTTTTGTCATATATTCGTGTTTTCCTATTTGCGTCGACTCTCATTTCCTGATGACAGGAATGGTCATAGATGTTGATGCCGATGCTGACGCCAACGACTCTCCGATACCCTGAGCGGAACCCATCGACCACTCTGGTGTTTATTACCCCAGACTAGAGGGCTCTCCTGCGTTCAGCATTCGCTCTCGGGAATGGTCGTAGATGTTGACGCCGACGCCAACGCCGACGCCAACGCCAACGCCGACGGTTCTTCGATACCCCGAGTGGGGCCCGTCAAACTCTCTTATGTTTATCACCCCAGATTAGAGGGCTCTTCTGCGTTCTGCATTCGCTCTTAGGTAAGTTCTAGGTTTTGGCTACCCGCCTCATTCTATTTCTGTCACCTATTCGGGTTTTTTCCTTTTTGCATCGACTCCCGTTTCCTGATGACAGAAATGGTTACAGGTGTTCAGGTCATCACTTGTATGAGGTGCGGTTTCACTGGACCTTGACGAGGGTTTAACTTTAATATGGATCACAGCTGAAGGTATGCCCACAGGCCATGCCATCTGATAAAGATGCATTAAGGAGTAAGGCAGGATAGGGATACAAATGTAAAAAAATATTTAGATTATACTAATGTGATGAAACTATATATGTTTGATCTCTTGGCAGATAATGACCAAGATTGAAGGATAAGGTCATTTGGTCGGACTGCTTATAAGTTTATTAGGGTAGCTACAGGCACAGGACTATTTCTCCAACTGAAAGTGATGTTATTGAACCAGAAGTGCAGAGAACTTTGTTATTTAGGTAGCTTTTAGCACATGACTCTTTGTTCAAAGTTGTACTGCATTGGACATGAATGACTGAATCAGATGTGTTGTGACTCACTCTCTACAGTAGTGTTTATGTCATTACTTACAGTGCTTATGACTTTGTTACTATAGATGCTAGAGGCACGGTGGGGATTGGCCTGCTTCTGTTTTTGCAAGTAATGTAAACATCTTTCATGTGAGTTGCAGGCATGGAACTTTCTGATTTATAGTTGCACTGCATATGACAACACCATCCAGATGGAACTTCCTTATTAGGCAACGACATGCATAGGACTTAAAGTGATGTGGGCCTTGAAAAATGTCAGTGAAGGGTCAAACAAGTACTTGCAAGAACTTTTCTTTTCTTACCTCGTGAATTAAAGGGTTGTTTTTTTATCTTGTGAATTAATAGTTACTCTGGACAGTGGTTGTCAATGAGATATATTTGACAACTATCAAATATTGTGGGATAAAACATCAGTATGTTAACCTTGACATGTTCCAGGTGCACAGATAATAGACATGATGTTACTGGTGGTGGACGTTGTGAAAGGAATGCAGACTCAAACAGCAGAGTGCCTTGTCATCGGAGAGATACTCTGCCACAAAATGATTGTTGTGATAAACAAGATGGATCTTTTACCAAGCGAAAAAAGATCTGCTAGTTTTGAGAAGGTAGGACCTAATTGATTGATTTTTCAACTTATCATGCATTACTCTTTAATTCATTTACTGATTGTTTTGACAGAATCAAGAAGTTTATCAGGTCCCGCTGAAGAAGTAGTAGTTTCAACTAGTTGTGTGGCTAATCCCATCACACATCGCTCACATGACCACGGAAATGATGATGTCACATGACCATCACATTACTGCTGTCACACAGACTGAACAGTCCTGTTTGAGTTCTCAAGCTACAATCCATTGACATCCTTTGCGTGTTATTCAGCACTATTTGTTTTTTGTGATTTATGTCTTACCTACTATTTTTTGCAATTGTGGTATCATGGCAAGTATCAGGTGTGTTGTGGTTCCAATTACCCATTTAAGTTCATCTTCTGTGGGCTGGAAGCCCCAACCAGCATCTACCTCTCTAAGATCGGCCTCCCCTTCGTCTCTTCTATCTACATTGACATCTCACCTGTACAGGTGCTGGTGAATACTTCAGGGACAACAGTATTCCAGACGCTGATGACCACACTGAAGGCTACGCTGATCAACACGTCTGTGGCACGCACTCGGGATGACCTCGCAGACAGAAGTTAGCCATAACACGATATCCTTGTGGTTACGTGCTCTTTTTCCACAGGCATATGAGACCGCTGGATTGGATCCCCCCAGGGCAACCCTCACGAGATCAGAACAGTTGCTGGACATGCAATCGGCTTTCGAACAGGGGAAGCCCTCAAGCACTTTCCCTGTCGAATTGCTGAGCAATTCCATGGAGAGGACGATATTACTCTCATAGAATTTCTTTCATGTGGCTTCTGGTAGACATGATCTGTACCCTAACTTGAAGATCATCAAAAATTTGTGACTGACTCGCCGTATGACAGAATCGTCATATGCTACAGGGTACCCACCTCTCGGGGGTCGTCATTTACAGGGCAGGACCAGACGTCACAAATATCTTGGAGATCAATCTGCTCCTGCACCGGCCTACGATTGCTAAAAACAGCCCAGGATGTGATGAGCTGAGGTCGACTACACTTGCTTCTGATGCAGCAGTTCCTGGCCCCTCACATGACATCAGGACCCATCCGTTGCTCTACCCCCTCAAGTGGAGCTGTTTCGTGAAAAATTGTGTACTTTGTGATAAGAGCATGCAACTTGGCACAGTTGTGGGTAATGACATTCTCTATATCTTCAAATATGGGTCCACCTAAACAAATCTAATATGGCCACCAAATCCAATACCCAGTAGGGATGAGTACAGTTTCAGGTCAACAGCAAGAAGCAAACAAGGAAAAAGAGTCACATGCTGCATTCAACCAAACAGCAAAATTCTTCACACATGCATTTCTGAGAATTGATGAGAACAAGACAACTGTATTTTAGTTATTGGCTTAACAAGTTTTTTCATAAGCATGTTGGGATAAACAAAGTATACGCACTTTCAGCAAACAGGTTCTATATAACAAAGGGTCAGTTGTCAATGATCTGCATCCATGTTCAGATTAAGAAACTGACACACAACCCTTATTGCACGTCTGAGTTTGATTCGAACAGTTGATACTGATGTCATTGTCCTGGCCATTGCATTGTTTCACAGAATAGATGTGTCTCACACCAACACACACATACACACACACAATCATGGTTGTACGCATTGTGATTACACCTTCTGCTTCATTGCAGATTTAGGCCCCCTTGGACTCAGTACCACAGTGACAAGTGTGGCTAGGATCCCCATCCTTTGTGTCTGGACTGCACCAATATATGTTTGACAGCTTCAAAATGTAGCTTTTGCATACCTCTTTAACTGAGAGCGGATGGGCAATATCGGTAGCAAAGGCTATGAGCCTTGGTGGACCACACTACCACAAGCTTCTAAGTCATGCCAAGAGCTTCTCAGATGGAGATGTAAGTCTGAGAGGATAAGCTGAGCAGTGTGTGACTGTTGTGGCACATTTGATTGGTACACCACTTTTCAAATGTGGTGACAAATGTGATGACATTAAATTGCCCCTAACCAACCAAAACTATTAGCCATTTTCAGCATATTTTGATAAATTTAAATTTTGTTCTTTAAATATTCCGTTGTCATTGCCATATGAGTATACAATATTGGTATAGTTAATAGGCTTTTATGAAGTATGTTTTATAGATATGCTGAAATTGTGAGAAAGTTTATATTTGATATTTTCTACCTGTTCTGGTCCTGGATGTCGGAATGTTCTGGCAGACGATATATCTGGGCAAGGCAGGGTAGCTACCTGGAATGGAAGCTTCCTTCTGAGGTTTTTATACCCCCGACAAAATGTCAGGGGTATATAGTTATACCAAGGTTCCGTCCGTCCGTCCGTCTGTCCATCTGTCTGTCCGTCCGTCCGAAAACTTTGTCCGTGCGATTTCTCTTAAACTATTCAGTGGATTCATCTCAACCTTAGTACATATAATCTGTGTCATATAAAGGGGTGCAGTCAAAAGAAAATAAATTGTTTTTATTAATTTTCCATTTTTTTATGAATTTTTCAAACCTTAACCCTATCCTAGCTATTTAATTTGTGACTACTGACACACTAGGCGGGTCAGGGGTATTAGTGAGCCACGCTCACTTTTGCAATTGTTATCTTGTGTGTCAGGGCCTAGGTCATCTCAACAGTGACCTCGTCACAACTTGTCAGAACTACCAGATCACACCTTCCGTCTCCTGATCCAAGAGTCGCAAGCTTGGGGACACATTCAGCATCCTGTGGGAAGGGCAAAGAGCTATTCCGCCCCCAGTACTTCTTCCCAGGGCGATGCAGAAGATCAGGGCAACCAAGAGCCTCGCTCTGATTGTGATCGCACCTTGGTGACCAGCGAGAGGGTGGTTCATAGATCTCTGAAGTCTTGCAGGAAGTAATCCACTACCTCTACCGGGGTTTTCCATCTTACTTATCCATCTGAACAGCCGGCTACCACATCCAATGCCAAGCAGGTTTCATCTGCACACCTGACTCATCTTAAGGGAGCTGTAGACTTTGTGTGGTGCTCGGAAATGGCTTTTATATTCCCGTATCTGTGACCTCCATGCCCAAAGCTAACTGCAACACTATATCATTATGGTTGTGAGCTGTCATCCTTCAGGCTCATGAAATTTAAGTGGTTGCATTGACGATGGCTCTACACAGTATTTGATCCCCTTGGAGCCATCATGGATGAATGTTTTTGTAAGGTCAGACACTGTCTTCGCAAGCCACTACCTGTGGGATGTGATCTTGGAAGATGTTCAAAGTGTTCATAGTTTTAGATCTCTGGTCAGAACCCAGCAGGTCACCAGTCCTTGTCGCCATTAAAATGCTCCTCTCCAGAGACTCGTGCAGTGTTCGCACGCCAGACACAGCACGTGGACAGGATTGGTCGAAGTAGTTTAAGATCTGAAGAAGTGATGCGCTCAACGACTGCTGTGATCCATTAGAGAGTTTCTGTCACTGAGGACCGTATTTGAAGGTATGCCCCCTGCCATACGGTCCGATAAAGATGCATTAAGAAGTAATGCAGGATAAGTTATATATGCTAGATATATATTTTATTTTTGTATACTTATCCTGCATTACTTCGTCTAAAGTGGCCCACTTGTCACAAAAATGCCTCCCAGTGACGTCTTCAGATGTTACGAGCTAGCAGTAATGTCATGGTCTGTGACATAATCACTTCTGTAGTCATGTGGACGCTGTGTGATGGTATTAGCCACACATCTTCTTCTTCAGCTGGACCTCATCGTACGGAAACATATCAACTGCTGTCATTGTTGTCGCTATGTTTTCCATGCAAAGGATATATTTCAAAATATATATTTACACATGTATTTCTTAACATTGTGAACCCTACAACTAAGATTTGTTGGTGCCCTAAAGCATATCATTTGAAAGTGGACACATTTTGTCTTTGTCCAAGTGAGCAAAATGGTGTAAATGTATTATCTGCATAAGTGCAGATTATGATTTTCAATAACAGCCACTAACTTGCAATGAACGTCCTTGGTTACAGAGGTGTATGAAAAGGATATATGTTAAAAATTAGTTTAGTGCCATAAACAAAACTGGGGCGTTTGCAAATTTCTGATTTTGACTCCAGAAATGCAACAAATCTGAATTTTTCTGAAATAATTACACCACAACTCTTAATTTTCACATCCTTACAGACGAATATCTTCCTATTATCGCTCCTGAAATAAATATTTTTACATTCATCAGGATTTCCCCTTTTGCTTGGTACCAAATTTTTTTAAGTATGATCATTAGTTATTTCATTTATGATTTTTGGCGCAAACCCATATTTATGTCATATATCTATAATTATACCATATAGCAGATGACATAATGTACATTTTATCTATGATTATGGTCTGAATATCTCTATTATTTACTACATATTTTTATGCCTAATCCTCTTAGTCATTACCCTACTTCTTCCCCAGGGAAACTCTAAACAAACTACATCAAATAAATCAACCTACATACTTACTATTCTACTTACATAACAACCTATTCTTCAATTAAAGATAGAGGCGTCTTGTTAATCTAGTGTCTGTGTGACACAGTGACTCAGTGACATACTGAGTGGACTTACTTGTAAGGAAACCCAAACTCTGAAGACACTGAATGCTACAGTACCAGGTCCTTAAAAAACACTAGGCATCCACAAGTCAAATTATACTTATATTATCACAAAATTCAAACACACATCACTCAATACTCATTTCTGGTTACTCGTTGCCTTTGAATCTTTGTTAAATACTGCAATACTAATTATAATAGTCTCACACCATTATCAATAAAGATTATTTTGTCATCTACATGATAGTAAACTCGCCTAAATTACTGTAACATTCAATTTTATTGGTTTCTAATGATGCTTCCTTGCCGAAATCTGCATCAAGATTTGTGATTGGTCAAATTTGAGCACGTGACCTAAGGCAACCAATCAAATTACAGCAATGGTACCGTCCTTGTGTATGATGAATTTAAGATTTTGTCAAAAAGTTTTTTTAAAACGAGCTGTATTGTCCGTGCGGAGAAATCGAGGCGCCAAAAGCTGAGATGTCATTTGACTCACATTACACGCGATTGCACGAAGAGATAAAAATAATAACTTAGATGTAAGTTTGACAACTTTTAGATAAAATTTTGTTGATTTTTTTTTTTACTTTGTAAAATATATTTAAAGATTTCATTGACATGTTTTTTATTTTGCTCTTTGACATGTTTGATGTGGACCCAATAAGATTGCGGGAAATAGATCTAGTAAATAATCTTTTAATCTTTCGATAAAAAATAATTAATTGAAATAAAATACGTATTTCAGACATTGTGAAACGTGACAGATGTAATAAATGAATGATATGACAGGTAGGTTCATAAAAGTTAAACACTATTTTGACGTGACTACAGCTTGGCCAGTCTTCTGGCCTGCGGTGTCTGGGGACTCGGTGTTAAAAGAGTTCAGTCATGTTGATCATCGTTTTCGCACATACTTATAAAAATTATTTTTACATACGAGTCATGATTATCAACAGAAATACTCATCAGTCACTTTCATCGATAAATTAAGTGTGCCATAGGGGCACGCAGGTAAGGAATTCACCGTGCCATTACAGTGTTAGGTGTGCCCTCGGCACGATGGCACTAATAATTTCAAACCCTGGACTATTAACTTTGCAGCAGCTAGGGCTGAATACATTCCAGGGAACTGAGGGGGAATATCGTGTGTGTGCACAATGATCCATTGATCAATTTTGTGCCGAGAACTATCACCAAAATAATCTTTGATAATTGGAAATGTGCTGTTGTATACTATGGCACATCTCCAAGTGTACAACAGCACATTTTCAAGTATCAACGGACAAAATCTCTCAGCTAAACCTTCCAATCCAAGCGCCCGGAGGACGCCTACTCCAACACCACCCTTCACTGCTACCCTGACCAGTATACCGTAGATTCAGGACCGGCAGTTCAAGGACTACAAGGAGAATAATCAAATGCTGTCAATATGATATGTCTCTGAACTTATCAATTCATGCTCCTTCGGGATATTTATCTAATACCTACACCATTATCAGTGCTAGTGACGAATGACATCTTCTGAAATTGAAAATATGTTGAGTGTTTGCATTGGTCCTTAAAAGAATGGAGTGCCCAAGGGGGTTTGGGAGTATCCTCCCCAACAAATTATTTTCATAATGCCAGAGCTATAGATAAGCTTTTGCTTATTTTGGTATTTTCCCCAGGAGTTTTATTTTGTTTGGGTATCCACAAAATTTAGAGGGTATTCAAATTTATACCTTCCTGTTTCTTAACATTTGGGTATTTAACTTAAAAACTATTTCGTAGCAATCCCTGTTAATCATTTAAGCTATGTGAATAGTAGTATACTCGTCTGCGTCTGCTTGTAGATTCCTCTCAGTGAAGACATTTTTTAAAATATTTTTATTTCTTTAACCACCAATCAGCAACTTATTAAGATACAACATGTACATTGACTAAACATGATGTGCTTTTCAATTGGCATCTTTCAGTATGTTCCTCACAGAAGCTTTTCCAAATGTCTGTAAGTGAATTTGGCCATAGGCTGATACGAATCGTTTTATCTGACAGTTGTAATATACGCAATTGTTTTATCTGACAGTTGTAATATACGCAATCATTTTATCTGACAGTTGTAATATACGCAATCGTTTTATCTGACAGTTGTAATATACGTAATCATTTTATCTGACAGTTGTAATATACGCAATCATTTAATCTGACAGTTGTAATATACGCAATCGTTTTATGTAATAGTTATGAGATATGCATTTAAGTTTATTTCAATAGCATATTTATTGTTTTTTTTGCAGATTTGGTACGCTAGGATTTGATTTGTCTTGTGTATTTCAGTTTATTTTATGTGTATTTTGCGCAAATAGCGCAGCTTTTCTCGAGCTCTGAATATTGTCCCAGAGTTTTAAGTCCATTCTGAGGACAAATAAATTGTCTGGTTAAAATCTTTAAGTGTTTGTATTCATTGTGTGTAGTTTTTGGTTTTCACTCACATTCCCGAAATCGTATTACATTATAAGTGTATAAGTGTGTGAGATAGAATTTCCTCTTAATACATACACATCTTGTGTGTTAAAATCATGTATAATATAGCTACATTACAGCTATAATCAATTGATTATATCAGTTTAATATTAAGCAATGACAGTTAGGAGTGAAAACAGTGACATTTACAAGTGATCGGCTTAAATTGTCCGGCTATCTAGGCCTACTAGTGCTTCCGGCATAAACACATTGTATAGTTTATTTCGATATTGTTTTATAGTTTAATCCACTAACCTTATATGATATCTTCCAAAATACATATGTAAACAGCTACCTGAACATTTTAATTGTTAAATCCTTTAAAAGTACGTACATCTAAGTTACTGTCACTTCCTAGATTTGGTGTTTAATCTCATTCTTCTTGCTCAAAGTTTTAGCTTGCATTTCTGGTAAGGACATTGACAAAGAAATATTGTTAGAAGGCCTGTGATTCTTATTCTTGAACAGTTCATGATGTTCATGAACAGTTCATAATTTGAAGAACTCACTTTCATAGGGGTTGCTTAACATGACTTTCCTGATTCAACATCTATTTTATCTTGTTTGCATACAACCAAATCAGAAATGAAGCCAGTACAAGACAATTATATCCAGTGTCGGTGAAATCTTATGACTAACGGAGGATCATCATCTCACCATGCTCAAACCTCTACCATTAGTTACTGATGAGTGATTGGCTCATCTATGGAGCTGGTACTGTTTTGCTGAGCCTTACGTTCCTACAAGTCGTATAAAGTAGCGACTTTCAACTTCGTTACATTCAGATTCCATCAGCTCTTCCTTTCCATGGCTACAGTGGCTAGTGTATCGCAAATTCATGTCTAGGACTCGCCAAGTCTCACTCATGCTAATGATTGGAACTCAACTAATGTCAGATCGCTACCTAACTTTATCGCAAAGATTCAGTCAACTTCTCTTAGGCCGTTGGGCCACAGACATTACACCATCCAAGCCTTAGCCCCAACTGTAGACTATGTTGATTAGTTCTCTCAGATATTACCTCATGGCCATATCTGAAATACATAGGAAGAGACTATTCAGCCCCTGCAAGAATATGACAAGATATTACCATAGCCACAGTTGCTGGCTAGTTCAAATCCAGTATTGCAGCAACTTGTCAGCAAGCCCAAGATTTGCAAGGGATCTATACCCCAGGTCCTATGGTGGCCTACGGTGGTGCCCGGTCAAGACGATCTAATCGATAATCAAGATCTTATATTGTGACATCGCGAAGTGCATCAAATCATGCGAGCACCTTTGATTAAAAACATGAAAAGGTTTGGAAAATATCTGTTGACAACGAGTTGGCGGTGCACATGCTTTGCAAATCCTGCAACCGACCAAAATCTGCGCCACAGTTTACGAACCAGATATCGATTTCATTGCGCGATTTTGATTGGACTATGCATAGACTCGTTAGTCCAGCCAAAATGAAACTCCATAATACCAGCCTAGTTCAGCAAGGATGGAAACTGGACTTTTATAGTCAGTTAACTCACTTGCCTCAGGAAGATGTATGGTGGCAGCTCAAACTGTTCTCTACCAATAGTTTTCATCCTTCTATGATAAAAAAATGGGTGGGGTGGGGTGGGGTGTGAGGATCCGACACCGGCAGTTTCAGAGGGTAGATAGACCTTTGCTCATTATTAGCTACTGAGTGTAGGATAGACCAGGGGGCAATAACTGAATCAAGCCTTAAGTCACAAGCTTTGATATCAGATTGACCAGAAGTGATGTCAGAACCTGAAGTGACATCAAAACTGGATTTGATGGTGAAACCATATTTGAAGGTGAAACCATATGTGACATCACAACTGGAAGTGACATCATATAAATGACATCATATGAGATTGAAAAGGAGGTCATAGTGATGACATTTATTCCGGAAGTGATGCAAGAACAGGAATGATGTCATAAAGAAATGGATATGATGTCAACAAGATAGATAATGATGACACTAATCTGGAAGGTGACGTCAGACCGGAAGTGACCGAATGACAGGAAGTGACGTCAGAATTGAAAATAAGAGATGGTTTAGAAACTCTAATGATGTCATAACTATGAATATCAGCAAATATAATGGTAATCCAAGAGAAGATATCACATATTTAACTGATTTATTCCACTGCTTGATTTTCAAGTCATTGAGAGGTGATTCAATGGAAATTATCTTGTATTAGAATTTGAAGCAGTTATCATATGAAGGAATCACAAGAGTTTTTTTCATATACTGTCAACTATAGAGGGAGTGTAATAGACGCAGAACCCGCCAATCTCTCTGGTGTATTCTGGCAATGATGTAATAGAGGTAGAGGATTCGTAGGAACGATAAAAATAACAGTTATTTTTGTTAATAGTTCTAAGAATACTGCCTCTATAACATCTAACATCAAAAGTACTCCATCCCACCTCTCCAATCATCTGCCTCCAGTTGGTATATGTTTGGAAAGAAGTGAGGATTTTCCAGCCTTTGCACATGTAAGAGGTGTGAGCTGTTTGTGCAATTAGGGGAACAGCTAGTTATGTATAGTTGATAGTGAAGAGGACTTCTGTTGAAAGTCTGAAAATTTGCATCCAAAATACAGGTAATGATGTAATATTAGAGGTAGTATTATTAGAAAAGATTTACAAAGCTAACTATTGTTTTGATGTCTGCCATTAACTGCCTGACATGGTATACATCTTTCTTTGTATTGGGATTGCCAGAATTGAAGACGGAGGGTGTCATGTTAAATTGTACTTTAATTTTGTGTGAGTTCATTTGAATTTGCGCCTTTGTATAGTTATGTTATGCAACTAACTACCCATTTTCTTGTTTAAAAACAGATGAAAAAGCGCATGCTGAAAACGCTTGAGACAACACGTTTCAAAGACAGCCCAGTAATAGCAGTATCTGCATGCACAGGAAGCAAGGACAATGTAGGTGAACTTAGTGCTTTCCTAGATGTTGGTCATTACCCTTCTGTGCTTTAACTTTAAGTATAATTGAGTAAGTATAATACAAGTATGATGTTCCCATTCCCCCTTCAAGTTTCGTGAAAAAATGCCATCTTGTGTCTCTATATATCGGTACTATGCAGTCAAAAGTGGACAATGTTTTGCTTCAGGTGGAACAAACAAGAGATAAGGAACTTGGTATTAACAGAATTTGACCTTTTAAAGGGGTGTTATCAGATTGCATTAACTGAACAGGGAAAGACGATTTCTGCTTTTGCTGCACCAGATGGACTTTATCAGTACAAAGGTGTGCCATCTGGGTAACAAATGCACCAGCTACCTCATCAATGATGTCACTTTGCCAGAGAATGTACAGAGACTTACATTGATGACACTCTCAGCCTTTCAATTGAGTGGGACGATCATTTGCCGCACATAGCAATTTTCCAGCTATATGACGGCAGATCCCTTTAGTCGCCTCTGACGACAAGCATGCTTGGGTTGCTGAAGACCTATTCTATCACAGGCAATACTGGCCAAGTGCTCAGGCCCAGGTTGTGTTCTTAGGTACTGTAGTTGGTCAAGGACAGGGGGCAGCCGTTTGATGCGAAAGTGAAGTCTGTTTTCTTTGTAATATTGATTATATCAGTCCACAAATGCAGTTTTGCTAATCATGCATTGTATGATGGAAACATATTTTATGTTCATTAACATATGTAATAGGGTTTGTTATGAAAACAATTTTATCATTGAAATTGCATGTCTGTTTTAAAGAAAATGTTACGATGTTAAAATTTTCTTTCTTGAGGAGGAGTATCATGTGGCAGTTTTGTCGTAAGTTTATTTTGGATGATTATTAGTGGGAGAAAAATGAAGCGCTAATAAAATGTCAAGTATATTCCCATGGCATCTCATAACATAGAGTGACCTCCCCTTAGTGTTTACATTGTCTCAACTTTGTCCAGCACTTGACACCTTCTTTACCCTCCCAGCATAGAGAGCTTCACTGTTGTAACTTTGGGAAATGACTCCCTGGTTTGAGGCATTTCCAGAAGGCCAGTTGTATCTATATAAGAGCGAAGATGAGGGGAATTCCAGGTCCTTCTTCGACTTGAATTTTTTAACACCAACCTTTATGGCTGCTTCCAATCCTGAATCCTAGATTCAAGAACAGAGTATATGCCTCACTCTAGATATTCAACTGTGACTAATTCTGGACAATCATGAGTGCACTGACTAAATTAGACTAAATATATTGCCATTTATAACTGTTAACTAAATCCTGTGTTTCAGTATCATTTGTTGATTATTTATTGATCTTGTGTGGTTACTTACTGATTTCACGAAATCTTTTTGTATGTAACCCTTCACCTTTCAACTTGGGAATCAACTCCTTAAAGTAATACAAAAATGTCCAAACTGACAAAGTCAAAATAACTACCCAATATTCTATGTCTGATTGACATGGCCAAAACAAGGCTTTGACAAGGCCAAATTATGTTGAAATTATTCACAAACTGTTGACAAGGATTGATAATTTTTATCTTTTGATAACAGTTTTTTGAACAAACTATTGACAACAATCATATATCAGGGAAACCTGTCAACTCTCTAGCTATTTAGCTTGCATAATGTACTGTGCTGTTTTATTCCAGGAAATGACATCTGAAGGAATGAATGATCTAATCTCCTTGTTGGTTCAACACACATATTTACCACTTCGCAGCCCACTGGGAAACTTCATCTTCTCTGTCGACCATTGCTTTGCTATCAGAGGACAAGGGACTGTTCTTACAGGCACTGTTCTAGCTGGAAAAGCCACAGTGGGTGATGTAAGTTATTTTTAAAGATTGTTTCATGTGGTATGTTTAGCACACAATATCATTTGTACCCATATGTTATGAGGAAATCTGGTTTTCAATAACACTAAATAATGAGTTCACCGAAAGACATTATCAGTTAAAGGATAACAAGTCATTGATCAACATTTGCACGTTTCGTTCTGTGTGTTCCTGGATTGGTAAATATGCCACTAAACATACCTCCTAGGCTACCCCTATTGTATCATGGCAAAAAAGGTGCAGTTTCTGGAGCACCACTTGGAAACTGTGAAAGATTTTTCGTCCAAACCTGGTACGTGCATTAACCAAGGGCTGAAGTGGTGCCTTTTGCTATTTAGGAATTTTTCAAAATTTGATGTTTCCACATGGAGACAAGTTGGACTTAGCAGAAACGGTAGGTGTTGTTTCCTGAATGGAACTCAAAAACTATTCAACATTTATCACCCAAACATGGTACATATATTAATCTAGGGCTGGAGTGGTGCCTTTTGCTATTTAGGAATTTTAATACAATTATATTTTTCATGTTTCCATGGAAACAAGTTTGACTTTGACTCTTTCTTGAAACTGTGCACATACAAAGACCAGGTTCCGAATCCCAATGTTGTTAATGTTTTGATAGCTGAATAACTACACTTGTATGCTAATATGTATTGACATACTAGATGGAAATTCTCTCATTAAGTTTGACTTAAAAGTAAGTCATATGATTCAAGTTACACTTACTGTTGTGATTCAGTGTACAAGTCACATCTACTGTTGTGATTTAGTGTTCAAGTCACATCTACTGTTGTGATTCAGTGTACAAGTCACATCTACTGTTGTGATTTAGTGTTCAAGTCACATCTACTGTTGTGATTCAGTGTACAAGTCACATCTACTGTTGTGATTTAGTGTTCAAGTCACATCTACTGTTGTGATTCAGTGTTCAAGTCACATCTACTGTTGTGATTCAGTGTACAAGTCACATCTACTGTCGTGATTCAGTGTTCAAGTCACACTTACTGTTGTGATTCAGTGTTCAAGTCACATCTACTGTTGTGATTCAGTGTTCAAGTCACATCTACTGTTGTGATTCAGTGTTCAAGTCACATCTACTGTTGTGATTCAGTGTTCAAGTCACATCTACTGTTGTAATTCAGTGTTCAAGTCACACTTACTGTTGTGATTCAGTGTTCAGGTCACATCTACTGTTGTGATTCAGTGTACAAGTCACATCTACTGTGGTGATTTAGTGTTCAAGTCACACTTACTGTTGTGATTCAGTGTTCAAGTCACATCTACTGTTGTGATTCAGTGTTCAAGTCACATCTACTGTTGTGATTCAGTGTACAAGTCACATCTACTGTTGTGATTCAGTGTTCAAGTCACATCTACTGTTGTGATTCAGTGTACAAGTCACATCTACTGTTGTGATTTAGTGTTCAAGTCACACTTACTGTTGTGATTCAGTGTTCAAGTCACATCTACTGTTGTGATTCAGTGTTCAAGTCACATCTTCTGTTGTGATTCAGTGTTCAAGTCACATCTACTGTTGTGATTCAGTGTTCAGGTCACATCTACTGTTGTGATTTAGTGTTCAAGTCACACTTACTGTTGTGATTCAGTGTTCAAGTCACATCTACTGTTGTGATTCAGTGTTCAAGTCACATCTACTGTTGTGATTCAGTGTTCAAGTCACATCTACTGTTGTAATTCAGTGTTCAAGTCACACTTACTGTTGTGATTCAGTGTTCAGGTCACATCTACTGTTGTGATTCAGTGTACAAGTCACATCTACTGTGGTGATTTAGTGTTCAAGTCACATCTACTGTTGTGATTCAGTGTTCAAGTCACATCTACTGTTGTGATTCAGTGTACAAGTCACATCTACTGTTGTGATTCAGTGTTCAGGTCACATCTACTGTTGTGATTCAGTGTACAAGTCACATCTACTGTTGTGATTCAGTGTTCAAGTCACATCTACTGTTGTGATTCAGTGTTCAAGTCACATCTACTGTTGTGATTCAGTGTACAAGTCACATCTACTGTTGTTATTCAGTGTTCAAGTCACACTTACTGTTGTGATTCAGTGTTCAAGTCACATCTACTGTTGTGATTCAGTGTTCAAGTCACATCTTCTGTTGTGATTCAGTGTTCAAGTCACATCTACTGTTGTGATTCAGTGTTCAGGTCACATCTACTGTTGTGATTTAGTGTTCAAGTCACACTTACTGTTGTGATTCAGTGTTCAAGTCACATCTACTGTTGTGATTCAGTGTTCAAGTCACACTTACTGTTGTGATTCAGTGTTCAGGTCACATCTACTGTTGTGATTCAGTGTTCAAGTCACACTTACTGTTGTGATTCAGTGTTCAAGTCACATCTACTGTTGTGATTCAGTGTACAAGTCACATCTACTGTTGTGATTCAGTGTTCAAGTCACATCTACTGTTGTGATTCAGTGTTCAAGTCACACTTACTGTTGTGATTCAGTGTTCAAGTCACATCTACTGTTGTGATTCAGTGTTCAAGTCACATCTACTGTTGTGATTCAGTGTACAAGTCACATCTACTGTTGTGATTCAGTGTTCAAGTCACATCTACTGTTGTGATTCAGTGTACAAGTCACATCTACTGTTGTGATTCAGTGTTCAAGTCACACTTACTGTTGTGATTCAGTGTTCAAGTCACATCTACTGTTGTGATTCAGTGTTCAAGTCACATCTTCTGTTGTGATTCAGTGTTCAAGTCACATCTACTGTTGTGATTCAGTGTTCAAGTCACATCTACTGTTGTGATTTAGTGTTCAAGTCACACTTACTGTTGTGATTCAGTGTTCAAGTCACATCTACTGTTGTGATTCAGTGTTCAAGTCACATCTACTGTTGTGATTCAGTGTTCAAGTCACATCTACTGTTGTAATTCAGTGTTCAAGTCACACTTACTGTTGTGATTCAGTGTTCAGGTCACATCTACTGTTGTGATTCAGTGTACAAGTCACATCTACTGTGGTGATTTAGTGTTCAAGTCACACTTACTGTTGTGATTCAGTGTTCAAGTCACATCTACTGTTGTGATTCAGTGTTCAAGTCACATCTACTGTTGTGATTCAGTGTACAAGTCACATCTACTGTTGTGATTCAGTGTTCAAGTCACATCTACTGTTGTGATTCAGTGTACAAGTCACATCTACTGTTGTTATTCAGTGTTCAAGTCACACTTACTGTTGTGATTCAGTGTTCAAGTCACATCTACTGTTGTGATTCAGTGTTCAAGTCACATCTTCTGTTGTGATTCAGTGTTCAAGTCACATCTACTGTTGTGATTCAGTGTTCAGGTCACATCTACTGTTGTGATTTAGTGTTCAAGTCACACTTACTGTTGTGATTCAGTGTTCAAGTCACATCTACTGTTGTGATTCAGTGTTCAAGTCACACTTACTGTTGTGATTCAGTGTTCAGGTCACATCTACTGTTGTGATTCAGTGTTCAAGTCACACTTACTGTTGTGATTCAGTGTTCAAGTCACATCTACTGTTGTGATTCAGTGTACAAGTCACATCTACTGTTGTGATTCAGTGTTCAAGTCACATCTACTGTTGTGATTCAGTGTTCAAGTCACACTTACTGTTGTGATTCAGTGTTCAAGTCACATCTACCGTTGTGATTCAGTGTTCAAGTCACATCTACTGTTGTGATTCAGTGTTCAAGTCACATCTACTGTTGTGATTTAGTGTTCAAGTCACATCTACTGTTGTGATTCAGTGTTCAAGTCACACTTACTGTTGTGATTCAGTGTACAAGTCACATCTACTGTTGTGATTCAGTGTTCAAGTCACATCTACTGTTGTGATTCAGTGTTCAAGTCACACTTACTGTTGTGATTCAGTGTACAAGTCACATCTACTGTTGTGATTCAGTGTTCAAGTCACATCTACTGTTGTGATTCAGTGTTCAAGTCACATCTACTGTTGTGATTCAGTGTTCAAGTCACATCTACTGTTGTGATTCAGTGTTTAAGTCACATCTACTGTTGTGATTCAGTGTTCAAGTCACATCTACTGTTGTGATTCAGTGTTCAAGTCACACTTACTGTTGTGATTCAGTGTTCAAGTCACATCTACTGTTGTGATTCAGTGTTCAAGTCACATCTACTGTTGTGATTCAGTGTACAAGTCACACATCTACTGTTGTGATTCAGTGTACAAGTCACATCTACTGTTGTGATTCAGTGTTCAAGTCACATCTACTGTTGTGATTCAGTGTACAAGTCACATCTACTGTTGTGATTCAGTGTTCAAGTCACATCTACTGTTGTGATTCAGTGTACAAGTCACATCTACTGTTGTGATTTAGTGTTCAAGTCACATCTACTGTTGTGATTCAGTGTTCAAGTCACATCTACTGTTGTGATTCAGTGTTCAAGTCACATCCAATTTTGGGATGCTTGGTGTCGTGTCTGCTCCACCAGTCTCTCCTGCACATGCGTTTCTTGGTTATCACTATGATCATGTGATAGGCGCTCTCAGACGTCCCCAAACGGTGCCCAGTGACAGTAGATCCATAAATTTATGGCAAATGGTCTGATATTTTACTGCAGATTTGCTTTGTATTCTCTTCTCGCTGCTGAGTTTTCTTTTGTCTATATGTCCCATGAGGCCCCTGACCGACCTATCAGTTCAATAATAGATAAAACACAAAGAGTAAAGGTTGATCCAAAGTTTGTTTTCACAAAAACAACAAGCGGAAACTTCATTAACTTAATTGAAAGAAAAACCTACCTACTTTTCCCCCTTCCCTACCTATGTATAACTTTTATATACCAACTCTTGAACTTTATATATTACAATCACCCCTCTAACTCCGTCATGTTAAACTAAACTGAACAGGCTGATTTACTTCCTTCCGCCATCGATGCATCCAATCAGACAGATATCTTTGATAATTTATGTGTGACCCTGTCAATTCAAACATTGAAACATGATATATCAAGGGCTATAACAAAACCGA